AAAAAAGGAAAAAAGAATTTTAAAAAATGAAGAAAATCTAAGAGAGCTAGCAGACAACCTTCAGCTCACAAACATTCGAATTATGGGTGTTCAGGAAGGGGAGGAGAAAGGAAAAGGCATGGAAAACCTATTCAATGAAATAATAACAGAAAAATTTCCAGGTATAGGGAGAGACACAAACCTTCACATCAAGGAGGCTAAAGGTCACCAAGCAGATTCAACCCACAAAGATCCACTCCAAGACACATTATGGTCAAACTGGCAAAGCTCAAAGACAAAGAGAGAATCTTAAAAGAAGCAATAAAAAAGCATCAAGTCACCTATAAGGGAGCCCCTATCAAGCTAACAGCAGACTTTTCAATAGAAACTCTACAGGCCAGAAGAAAATGGGATGATATATTCAAAAAACTAAAAGAAATAAACTGCCAGCCAAGAATACTATACCCAGCAAGGCTAGCCTACAGAAACAAGGGGGAAATAGTGTATTTTCCAGACAAACAAAAACTGCAGGAGTTCATCACCACATGACCAGCCCTATAAGAAATTCTCAAAGAAGTCCTGCATCTATAATCCAAAAAAAGATCATCACTACCACAAATACACAAGAAAGAACAAAACCCACTGGTAGAACAAAAGTGCAAATGAAAAAGAGAAAGAAACTAGATTTACCACTACAAAAAAAACCATACTGACAATGTAATAATGCCCCTGCTTAAGTTTGATTTTAGTAATTTAGTTCTTCTCTCTTGTTCTTGGTCGATCTAGATAAAGGTTTGCAAATTTTGTTGATCTTTTTAAAGAATCAACTCTGGTTTTGTTAATTTTCTCTATTGTTTTTAATTCCCTATTTCATGTATTTCTGTTGTAATCTTTGTTTATTTCCTACTTATACTTGCTTTTGGTTTTGTTTGCTCTTTTTCTATTTTCTTAAGGTGGAAATTAACATTACTGATTTGAGATTTTTCTTATTTTTAATATAGGTGTTTACAAAATAATTTTCCTCTAAGCACTGCACGAGCCCTGCATCCTATAAATTTTGATATGTTGTACTTTGATTTTTATCTAAAGTAATCTCTAATTTCCCTGTGATTTTTCATTTTACCCACTGCTTATTTAGGAGAGTGTTGTTTAATTTCCACGCATTCATGAATTTTCTAAATTTCCTTCTGTTATTGTGGTCAGAGAACATATTCTCTACGATCTTAGTCTTTGTAAATGTATTAAGACTTGTGTACAAAAATTTTTTACAAAAGACAATACTAAACTATTGGATAAATGTAAAGAAACCCAACAACAACAACAAAAGAAGCTGAAGCTCAGAAAAATTAAATGACTTACATAAGACCACATGGTATGATTAAAATGTATTCAAGTCTAATGGGGCTTCCATTGGTTCCAGGTGGATTGGAGAAGGGAGAAAATGGAGGCAGGAAGATTGTCAAAATGCAACTGCAACCTATGCCATATGCAAGCTGATAAAGACTTTAACCATGGTGTAGAGAGAGAGAATGGCAGGGAGCTATTGGAAAGAGGAATAGAGATAACTTTAGCTATATTTGATTTCTTGTGTTTCAACATTTTGTTGTGAATGTCCTCAAAATGCTTAACCTTGATGTACCATGTGGGAGAACTCTTAGATTAAGCCCAACTTCAGACCACCTATCTCTAGAATCTAGTTCATTCCAGACTAGATCATCTAGTGCCATTACTAGATGATAAAAAGAGTTATTTTCATTTTTCATCTCTTAATAGGAGCCAAAAAACATAAGTACTTTGTAAAATATTAGTTTCTTTATTAGAAGAATAAAATACAGTCCTGTGCCTCGTAATGATGTTTCCGTCCATGACAGACAGCATATATGATGGTGGTCCCATAAGATTATAATGGCTGTTCCATATAGCCTAGATGTGTAGTAGGCTATACCACCTAGGTTTGTATAAATACATTCTAAAATGTTCTCACAATGACATAATTGCCTAAGGATGCATTTCTCAGAACGTGTTCCTGTGATTAAGTAATGTATGACTGTGTTGTAAAGCATTGTGAATTAACATTTTAAAGTTACACAAGGTACTTGAATTAGTCTATTTTCTGTTGCTTATAAAAGAATATCTGAAACTGGATAACTTATAAAGAAATGAAATTTATTTCTTACAGTGTCAGAGGCTGGGAAGTCCATGGTCCAGGAGGTGCTTCTGGAGAGGGGCTTCTTCTTGGTGGGAACTCTACAGAGTCCCAGGGCAGTGCAGGCAATCACATGGCAAGAACAGCAAGGGCTCTCTGATGTGCTCTCTTTATAAAGCCACCAGTCCACACCCATTATCATGAGCTCATTTCTCTGAATAAATTCATCCATTCATGACCGCATAGTTTTCATGATCCAATCACCTCTTAAAGGCCCCAGTCTTTCAAATACCATAATCGGATTTCCCACCCTCTTAATGCTGTTACAGTGGGAATCAACTTTCCAACTCATGAACTTTTGAGGGACACACTGGACCCATAGCAGTACTCTAAGTATGGATAATAGCATTATTAAATACATGTGTAAATTTATTAATGCAGTGATTTTTAACATATTTTGTAATGATCCTTTAAAATTCATTTATGCTTTATATGAACTATTTTATATAGATGTTACATTCTTTATTGAACAACTGGAAAAATATCACAGACAGCACAAGGACATAGTAGCTCTAAGGCCTACCAGAAATGTGGGATTGCTGCTTATTGACACTAAGCTGCTAAAAGAAAAACTAATTCCATCACCTTTGCGATGCTTGGAGGTAACTATGAACTAGGAAAAATTTAATTATGGTACCTACAATTATTTTGTAATTTTTCCACTGTAAAAAAAAAAACCCTGATGTTCATTTTTCTAGCATTGCAGATATTAAAATTAACATACAGCTACTATCTGTTTCTTTCTGTCAGCTTTTGAACTACAGAAGGGAGAGGACTGCAGGCCTCAGACTAGCCTCTTGCTCTTGCTCCTTTTTCCTTTGTTGAAACATTTCAAGACTTCCTGCAGGAGAGTTACCACTGTAACAGCTCAGTGTCCTAGTAGGAGTAACGATTCATTCTAGAATACTGAGATGAAGTTTAGGGGATTATTTTCTGATCTGTAACTGCCCCTAAAGGTCTGATTATGTTTTGGTGAGTTAGAGAGAGAGGGAAATTTCTGAAAAAAACTTGCAGAACCAATACAACAATTTCCTTTGGAGCCAGAGTATACCTGTATATTCTCAAATGCCTCCAGAAAGATAGTGATGTAGAACAGGGTTTGGCAAACTATAGCCCACAGGGCCAGTGCAGCCTGCCTACTGTTGAGTATGCAGTTTTATTGGAATACACCATGACAATTGGTTTACCTATTGTCTACGGCTGCTTTCTCACTACAAGAACAGAGTTGAGTAGTAGTGGCAGAGACTGTATGTCCTGCAAATCTAAAATATTTACTATCTGGCCCTTATGAAACAGAATACAGAGCAATGTATAAATGACTTTTCAAACCTCTGTGCTAGTATCTGTTCTGTCATTAATTAGATATATGGCTTTGGGCTTTCTCCTAAAGCTTTGGTTCATCATCTGTTAAAAAAGAAAAAATATATATAATTGGAGCAAATTCAATTCAATTTCAGCAAAAATTTTTGAGTACTCCTATATATTAAGCCAAAGAAAACTAAACTCGGCCTAAGAATGACTTGTAAATTAGTGTCATGGTACATTGACTAATGGGAAATCAGCCAAATTTTTCCCTCTTCTTTATTTTTGTCATTTGTATTGTCTATTAATTATTACTACTAAAGAGGAAAGATTGATTTTGTGAAAAAAAAGAAAAAGAAAAAAGAAAACTAAACTCAAACTGGCTTATGCAATTTGAAAATTTATGGGCTTATGCATCTAGAAAGTCCAGATAATGGGTAAACACCAGGGAGGTTTGATCTAGTGACTCAATGGTATTAGCAAGGACCCAAATTTTCTTTCCTTCTGTTTACTGAGCCTCCTAATGTGCCACCTTCACCCTAAAGTAAGCATTGTTCACTTTATTTCATTGTGAAATTGTTGTCAAAAAGCTCCACAGGCTAGTTATTTCCTTGCTCATGTACNATTTCATTGTGAAATTGTTGTCAAAAAGCTCCACAGGCTAGTTATTTCCTTGCTCATGTACACAGAGAAAGAGAAATTGGGGTTCTGAGTTTACATCTCTCTCAGCCATAAACAAGAGTCCTGGGCCTCTATCTGATTGTATCCACTAAGGTCAGAGGCCCACCCTGGAATTGGATCACTTTGGCCAAAGGAGGCCATGCTCATATTTGCCTCATGATCAGTCAGACTCCACCTTTGTTTCTGAAGAAGAGATCATTTTCTCCAAACCCCATGGCTACCACCCAACACGAAAGGAGTGGGGTTGATGCTGGGGATGGCAGCACAATGTTCACTGCATAGGACAAAGAAGCAGAAAGATATCAGAGCGTTTAGGCAAACTTTTTAGTAAGCTGTTAACCTATTTTGATCTGGAAATGATCTTCAAAACCTGGTCTTCCTGTTGGTTCATTTGACTGGTGGTGACTTAATGAGGAAAAAATTCCCTTCTTATACACTGCTGCTGCCAATACCTGCTGATTTAACAGACGTTCAGTTAGGATTTGTCTAAAATATATAATAAGATGGAAATATTCAAGTATTTATCATTCATGTCTTCTTTNGAACAGAGTTGAGTAGTAGTGGCAGAGACTGTATGTCCTGCAAATCTAAAATATTTACTATTTGGCCCTTATGAAAAACTTTTGCTGACCCCTGATGTAGATGACAGAATACAGAGCAATGTATAAATGACTTTTCAAACCTCTGTGCTAATATCTGTTCTCTCATTAATTAGATATATGGCTTTGGGCTTTCTCCTAAAGCTTTGGTTCATCATCTGTTAAAAAAGAAAAAATATATATAATTGGAGCAAATTCAATTCAATTTCAGCAAAAATTTTTGAGTACTCCTATATATTAAGCCAAAGAAAACTAAACTCGGCCTAAGAATGACTTGTAAATTAGTGTCATGGTACATTGACTAATGGGATATCAGCCAAATTTTTCCCTCTTTTTCATTTTTGTCATTTGTATTGTCTATTAATGATTACTACTAAGGAGGAAAGATTGATTTTGTGAAAAAAAAGAAGAAAAGGAAAAAAGAAAACTAAACTCAAACTGGCTTATGCAATTTGAAAATTTATGCATCTAGAAAGTCCAGATAATGGGTGAATATCAGGGAGGTTTGATCTAGTGACTCAATGGTATTAGCAAAGACCCAAATTTTCTTTCCTTCTGTTTCCTGAGCCTCCTAATGTGCCACCTTCATCCTAAAGTGAGCATTGTTCACTTTATTTCACTGTGAAATTTCACAATTTCATTGTGAAATTGTTGTCAAAAAGCTCCACAGGCTAGTTATTTCCTTGCTCATGTACAC